GATGTTGTCACATCAAGAAACACTCTTTTATTTTCATTGTTACTTCAGATTTCTTAAAATTGTGTGTCTTAGCATTTATTTTTCGTTCCTCATAAGTCATTGTGTGTGTGTGTGTGTGTTTCATTATTATTTTAACCTTGTATTTTTTTACAGTTCTTTCTCTCCAAAGTGAAGGAAAGCAAACGAACTAAGCAGATAATAACAGTAATTATATGGAAACATGATAATAATATTGAAAGGAATAAAATGCTTATTCCGCTAAGATTTTTATTATTTGCAGCTTCCCACGGAAACTGAAGGACATCCTTTTTTGCCTTTCGCCCCTTCCCTTTTCTAACTCTGTCCCCAAAACCCTGCCCCTTACAGGATATCACTTCTACAGATGTGTTACTACAGATCCAATGAAAAGCTTCGCCACCACAAGACTATTACCTGCAGCAGCAGCAACAACAACAGACACCAAAGTTTTCAAAGTGGCCACAGCAATTTCTTTCAAAGGGGAAGTGGGGCTGACAAAGGGGGGTGGAGTTGAATTGCAAGGACATCTTCTCACTTTGAACCTCAAGACTGTGCTCCAGGATTCAAAAGATGCATACATAAATATCCCAATTGTCTCAAGATATGCAACTGATATTTAATTAGTTTGTTTTGTATTATGTGTTATTACGTAGGAATGCTGAAATGCTTCCACAAGCTTGCAGGTAGAAATTCTTTAGTAAGGCACAACCAAGAAGCTAGGCATTGGATTTAGCTATTTTCCCGGATAGGCACACACAATACAAGTGAAAGTTTCTTGCTTAAAATTTATTTTAAAACATAAAGAACATGCTAAAAAGCAGGCACATCTTTTGGTAGATTACAAGTAAAGAGAAAAGAAAAACGTTGCAAAATATAGCTAGCTAATACTCACTTCTACACTCTAAGGCAGTGTTTCCCAACCGGTGTTCCGCGGCACACTAGTGTGCCGTGAGACACCGGCTGGTGTGCCGTGGGAGGGAGGCGGGCGAGTCGGGCGCCTAGGAGAGAACAAAACCAAGTGAGCAGCGCGCGAGAGGGAAGCGACCCGAAAAAGAAGCGCGTTCGGAGTCCGGAGGCACTTTTGGGGCTGCGTACGAAGGGAGGGGGGGCACGGACGGCGGAAGGGGGCGGGGCGCGGTTGCAGAAACCCGCCAATGCTTCCACCTCATTGGGAAAGGGAAGGGGTTGGGCCACCTAAAACTCTCCGCCGGGGCCACATCCTGCCTCCCAGCCCCCTTTCCTCCACCCACGGAGGGAGGGATGTTTTTAACACCCCCCCCCGCTCACAACCCTTTGGTAGCGTTTCTCCAATCTGAGGCGAGCGCCCGCCGACGCCCCCTTCCCCTGCTCAGTCGCGCAAAAACCGAAGTCTCCTCCCTACCCCTTATTCCCTCAAACCCCGTTTCCATAAGGGGGGGGGGGAATAACCCCTTCCGTCGCGCGCAAAGCCCAGCTCCCTCCGCCCTTCGCGGTCTCCTCAGCACTTCAGCCAGCCGTTTACACTCTCGGAGCCACTGGGCAAAACTCGCTCTCAGAAGCGCGCGGAGAGAAAGAGAGAGGGAAACAAAGTTAACTTGTGGGGAGAGAGAAAGAGCGAGCGGGAGCTAACTTGTGTCCAAAGGCAGATACAAAGTAGCCCCCCCCGCCCCGAAGGCGACCTCTCTTGCTCTGCTCCTCTGGGGTGGGGAAACCAACTCCACCATGCGGAGCAGCCCCGAGGCGGGGAATTTCGCCCCTTCGTAATGTATGCATGTAAATGAGGCGGGCGCAAGGGGTGGGCGCGGAGAGGAACTCACGCCTCTGAGGCCGCCGCCTCCTTCTCCTCCTCCTCCGCCCCCCCCCCTCAAACCCAGGCGGCGGCGGCGGCAGGAGGCAGCAGCGGCAATAACAGAAGCAGCTGCGCTGACAACAACACGTGTTCGCTCGGGCACCATGGAATTCGAGGAGCTGGGGATTCGGGAGGAGTGCGGCGTGTTCGGGTGTATCGCCTCCGGCCTGTGGCCCACGGAGCTGGACGTGCCCCATGTGATCACGCTGGGGCTAGTGGGGCTGCAGCACAGGTAGGGGACACGGCGGTGGGGGGGAGACGGTCTGGGGAAGCGGGGGGAGGGTGGGTTGCTTGCGAGACAGCGGAGGAGGAGGAGGCCGGCATGTCCGGGCAGCAGCAGCAACAGCAGCAGCAGCAACTCCCGGCGACGGCTCCTCCTCCGCCCGCTATCGCCGCCGCCTCAGCTGCCGCCGTCCCTCAGTCCCTCGCTCTGCTGCCTCCTCCCACCCCGGCAAGGGGAAGGGAAAAAACTTTCACTTTTGTGCGTCCCTCCCGGCGTGACGCTGCGCGCTGACGTCACGGGGCGGGGCTTTAATGGTGGTGTGCCGCGAGATTTTTTTCCGGTAAACAGGTGTGCCGTTGCCCAAAAACGTTTGGGAAACACTGCTCTAAGGCAAAGATAGGAGAGTTCAGAGTCCTTCAGAGATCCACATTCAGAGGTCTTAGGAAATCTTCATCACAAAAGAACGGCTGCTTAGGTGGAACATCAGCAGCCGGGCGATTTTGTGGATTGCAGAGCGCGCCTTCCCAGCCATTCTCAAGATCTTTTATCCCTAATTTGCACGTGGAATCAGATCCCCCAGGCCCAATCACCACTCTTGGTTACATTTGAATTCTCCAATGACCAGCTTGTGGGTTAATAAATTTAACTTCTGACAGCTGGGCCAATTAAGACTCCAGAGCCTAGATCAAAGTTGTTTCCTCCCTTTCTTGGAGCTTATGCAAATGCACCTCCTTTGGGCAATTAACAGGGAGATAACATCACCGGCTGGATATACATAACTTCCCTCACAGGTGTCAACCCTTCACATTATCCAGAGAATTCCTCTCCCATAGTAAACCTTTCACGCCCTTGGAGCCAACGGGTCTACGGGTTAAAGCAACAGGACCTAGTTCCCATAATTCTTGCTGGTTTCCCACAAGGCCTCACTCTCCGCTTGACCAAAGTACTAACTTTACTACAGGTGCCATGGGGGTGGGAGAGAGAGTGTGGGTATAGCCCCCCCATAAGGCTCTGGGGTTACTGGAACATCGGAGCACTCTGCCTAAAGTGGAAAGCTATAAAAATGTTGGGTGTTAACAAGAACTTGACTATGGGCCAGACGAGGAAGACACCCTCAACCAAAGTAGAGAAGGAGAAACAAGAGGAGAAAGAAAAAAATGACTTGATGGAGATTCTTGCTTTCAGAGTGAAATCAGCTTATGCAAAAGCAAATAAACTACCAGGAGTTTGATTGATTTTATGAAACTCAAGATCAAGAACTCCAAACACACTACCAGAAAAACTGATTACAATGCTCAAAATTGCTGAAGAAAAGAACCAGCTATAAGTTTCTGGCTGATGCGCTCAAGAAGAATTCAATTCCCTTTAGTTGAGAATTCCTGGAAGGGAATTTTTTTATGTACATAGGGAAGAAACAAAGATGGCAAGGGCCAATAAAAACAGAGGCATTCTAGAGGAAATATATTTTTAAAAAGAGCTGGGAGACGAGCTGGAGGAGGGAGATAGCTGATAAGGGGAAAAGGGACTTAAAACTGTTTAAAGGATTCAATGATGGATTTAAAATTGTTTTCATTGAATGTGAATGGTTTGAACAACAAAACCAAATGAAATAAAATTACACATATTTTCACAAGGAAACAACAACAAAAATGATTATTGGTAAATAAAGGACTAGGACAGGAATTCAGATAAAACAAAGAAAAGAGGGGTGGTACTATATATGAATTCCAAACTGGACTCTAAACAGATCTTTAGAGGTGAAGAATTATTGCAGTGAAAGTGATGGTGAAGGAGAAAAAAATATTATTGGTAGGAGCTGACGCACCTAATGAGGAAAAAGAAAGATTTCTTCCAATTATTGGATGAAAGTATGTCTGAGGTTTATGTTGGAAATATAATTATTATGGGCGATTTTAATGGAGTAGTATCACTGGACTAAGACAGAACACTGCAGAAAGGTATCTCAAAAGAAGGCAAAATACCAAATACTTTTTTTGTAATTAATTATGTAATTAGGAAGAATTTATAAAGAGCTTGGGAAATGTATAAGGATTTGTTGGAAAAGAAAACATCTTTGTGGCTTTCAGCCAACCAGATGAATTATAACTAGGGAGAAAATTACTTTACTTAGGGTGATGCTCCCGAAGAAACCATTTCTTTTAGGGATAACTGGGTTAAATATTCCATGAAGACAGATGAAAGACAGCAGCAAAAGTACTTTATGCACAAAAATGGCAAAATCAAGAGATAGCTACACTTGATCAAGAGAGCGGCAGTTAAAAGTGATGGAATATGTCAAATTGGCAAATTTAACTATGAAAATAAGAGATCAAGACAGACATTAAGGAGGAGTAGAAACCTTGCTAAGGTGTCCACTTCTATTGAAGCTCTTTCCAAACTCCATGCATTTAAATGGTTTCTCACCTGTGAGTGCGTTAATGAATTCTAAGGTTTCCACTAGTAGTGAAGCTCGTTCCATATTCCATGCATTTAAATGGTTTCTCCCCTGTGTGACTCCGTTGATGAATTCTAAGGTGTCCACTCTGACTGAAGCTTTCCACACTACATGCATTTAAAATCATAGAATCATAGAGTTGGAAGAGACCACAAAGGCCATCGAGTCCAACCCCCTGCCAAGCAGGAAACACCATCAGAGCACTCCTGACATATGGTTGTCAAGCCTCTGCTTAAAGACCTCCAAAGAAGGAGACTCCACCACACTCCTTGGCAGCAAATTCCACTGTCAAACAGCTCTTACTGTCAGGAAGTTCTTCTTAATGTTTAGGTGGAATCTTCTTTCTTATAGTTTGGCTCCATTGCTCCGTGTCCGCTTCTCTGGAGCAGCAGAAATGGTTTCTCCCCTGTGTGACTCCGTTGATGAATTCTAAGGTTTCCGCTAGTAGTGAAGCTCTTTCCACACTCCATGCATTTAAATGGTTTCTCCCCCGTGTGACTCCGTTGATGAATTCTAAGGTGCCCACTCTGACTGAAGCTCTTTCCACACTCCATGCATTCAAATGGTTTCTCCCCGTGTGACTCCGTTTGATGAATTCTAAGTTTTCCACGCTCAGTGAAGCTCTTTCCACACTCCATGCATTTAAATGGTTTCTCCCCCGTGTGACTCCGTTGATGAATTCTAAGGTATCCACTCTGACTGAAGCTCTTTCCACACTCCATGCATTCAAATGGTTTCTCCCCGTGTGACTCCGTTGATGAATTCTAAGGTCTCCACTCTGACTGAAGCTCTTTCCACACTCCATGCATTTAAATGGTTTCTCCCCTGTGTGACTCCGTTGATGAATTCTAAGGTATCCACTCTGAGTGAAGCTCTTTCCACACTCCATGCATTCAAATGGTTTCTCCCCGTGTGACTCCGTTGATGAATTTCTAAGGGCTTACATTTTAAATGTTTCTCCCCCGTGTGACTCCGTTGATGAATTCTAAGGTATCTCTGAGTGAAGCTCTTTCCACACTCCATGCATTCAAATGGTTTCTCCCCGTGTGAGTCCGTTGATGAATTCTAAGGTATCCACTCTGAGTGAAGCTCTTTCCACACTCCATGCATTCAAATGGTTTCTCCCCCGTGTGACTCCGTTGATGAATTCTAAGGTCTCCACTCTGACTGAAGCTCTTTCCACACTCCATGCATTTAAATGGTTTCTCCCCTGTGTGACTCCGTTGATGAATTCTAAGGTGTCCACTCTCACTGAAGCTCTTCCCACACTCCATGCATTTAAATGGTTTCTCCCCAGTGTGACTCCGTTGATGAATTCTAAGGTGTCCACTGTGACTGAAGCTCTTTCCACACTCCATGCATTCAAATGGTTTCTCCCCTGTGTGACTCCGTTGATGAATTCTAAGGTCTCCACTCTGACTGAAGCTCTTTCCACACTCCATGCATTCAAATGGTTTCTCCCCCGTGTGACTCCGTTGATGAATTCTAAGGTTTCCGCTAGTAGTGAAGCTCTTTCCACACTCCATGCATTTAAATGGTTTCTCCCCCGTGTGACTCCGTTGATGAATTCTAAGGTATCCACTCTGAGTGAAACTCTTTCCACATTCCATGCATTCAAATGGTTTCTCCCCCGTGTGAGTCCGTTGATGAATTCTAAGATTTCCACTCTGACTGAAGCTCTTTCCACATTCCATGCATTTAAATGATTTCTCCCCTGTGTGACTCCGTTGATGAATTCTAAGGTGTCCACTCTGACTGAAGCTCTTTCCACACTCCATGCATTTAAATGGTTTCTCCCCTGTGTGAGTCCATTGATGTTTTCCAAGTGTTCCACTGTCAGTGAAACTCGTCCCACACTCCATACTTTCAAAATGTTTCTCCTCTCTCTTTTCACATTCCATGAATTTATATGGTTTCTTCGTTATTCCTATTGGACATGGCCCTCCAGAATTTTGACTGCCTTCTCCATTGTCTTCTTTCAACAGGGAGGAGCGGGGGGAAAGGAAACCTAGGAAGAGAACAAAGGAATATTACACACATCAATTAGCACCTGCTCTTATTTTGACATCTCGTACATTCTTTCCTGTCCTCCATATGAAATTTTTCGGAAAGACAAATGAAATAATGTTAAATAATGGTAATGCATCATCAGCCTTTCCTAACCTTTAATTAAGCATTAATGAAGCAGCATTATCTTAGAATACAGTTTAACTGTGGGCTTTACGTTTGATAAAAAATGGTTTATCACAGGAAAGGGAGCTGCTCTATGTTCCATGAAGCCAATATTCATCAGGGTCCTAAGTTCATCATGAAGTTCTTCATCCTCTGCACTATAATCCTCCATCCCTTGGGCCACATTTTGTCCCCTTCGACCTCTAGATGTTTATTAATCACCTGCAGAGTCCCTTTGGCCTCAGGAGGTCCATACTGACCATATTGGGAGACCCATATATAAGTCTAGTGACAAGGCTTGGTGCTTGTGGCCGGTTGAAGGAGTGCTCAGTGGGACAATGTTCTTGGGGTTGGACCTCCATCTCTCAGCCTTGCATTCTTGAACGGAGAGAGCTCGAGATGCAGAAGGAAAGCAGCTGGAGCCTGACTGCTGGGAAGGCCAGATTGAGACACCCATCCAAATTATGATTTATAATAATTATATGCCACCGGGTCTCGCACCTGCCTCCTGACACTGGCTTATCTTAGCGGAGATTCCCTGTCCAGGCCTCTCTCACTGTTCTTCCTCCTTTGCCCTGGGTGGCCAAGGGCTTCCGGATATTCTAGCTCTGCTCCAACTGGGAATTATTTATTAAATTGTTATACCTCTCTTCATCTGAATATCACAAGATAGAAATATGTGTTACACTGAAAAAGGTGAGTATTAAAGGTGAATAACACTGGCCAGAGTGGTGCATGCTCTGGTCATCTCCCGCTTGGACTACTGCAATGCGCTCTACGTGGGGCTACCTTTGAACGTGACTCGGAAACTACAACTAATCCAGAATGCGGCAGCTAGACTGGTGACTGGCAGCGGCCGCCAATACCATATAACACCGGTCTTGAAAGACCTACATTGGCTCCCAGTACGTTTCCGAGCACAATTCAAAGTGTTGGTGCTGACCTTTAAAGCCCTAAATGGCCTCGGTCCAGTATACCTGAAGGAGCATCTCCACCCCCATCATTCTGCCCGGATGCTGAGGTCCAGCGCCGAGGGCCTTCTGGCGGTTCCCTCATTGCGAGAAGCAAAGCTACAGGGAACCAGGCAGAGGGCCTTCTCGGTAGTGGTGCCCGCCCTGTGGAACGCCCTTCCAGCAGATGTCAAAGCGATAAACAACTACCTGACATTCAGAAGACATCTTAAGGCAGCCCTGTTCAGGGAAGTTTTTAACGTGTGATATTTTACTGTATTTTTGGTTTCTATGGAAGCCACCCAGAGTGGCTGGGGAGGCCCAGCCAGATGGGCGGGGTATAAATAATAAATTATAATTATAATTATAATTATAATTATAATTATGATTGTTGGAAAGAAAAGAAAGAAGAAGGAAACCCGTGGTGTGTCCTCCTGAATGTAATATAATAATAATAATAATAATAATAATAATGTGTAAAGAAGAAACCAATCTTCAAATCAGTTTCATATTCTCTGGCTGTATTTCTCAGCCATGATTGTGACTCAGAATCTTAGCCACACTTTATTCTAGAATATCAACTGGATCTCTTTGTAATAGGAGCCAGACATCCCTGGGATTTCATCCAGACATTCCTTTAGTGTGGGCAGCAGCAGCAGAGGAAGGAAGGAATTAACATTGGGGGCAAACCACTTCCTTCAGAAGGTCTTCCCCAGCGGCCAGCAGGGTTGATAAACTGCTCAGTGGGGACACCTTGGCTTTATAGTGTTAGGGTCTGGATACCAATCATAATCCCTTGGAAATGTCTCAAGAACCCTTAAGATCCAGTTCCACCAACTCCCAAGTAACACTGCGCCCTAGAGGAACCTTCTGTGCTGAGTTGTGGCATCTCTTGTGGAGTTTGGAACTGACAAGGTTAAAACTCCGTGGTGTCCTGTATCTGGATCTGGGAGGAGCTGGGAGGAGCTCGATGCAGAGAAGTGCATCACAGGATGTTGTTCTGACGCTCTTCAGATCTGTCTCTGCAACGGACAGAGAAGCAGCTCAGCTTAGAAGCTGCTGTGAGTGTGCTTTTGGAAAGCACAGAGAAATGGCCGAAGTTTCCGATGGTGTCTGATGGATTTATTACTCTGTAAATAAAGCTACTGGAGATAAGAACGGACTGTCTTTGGACTTGATTTATCCCTTTATCTCACACGGAAGCAGGACCGCTGCTACTCTGCATTTCTTTGGCCAGGTCAGCAGAGCCTACGCCGAGGAAGTGCTGCCTGGACCCAAAGATTTATTTCTGCAAAGGTTATGGAAGTTCTGTGTTTCCTGACAAGTGTGAGAAGGGAGGAAGACTGCCAGCTTTGAGTTGCTGTGATCTCCTGCCAGGAAGGGAAGTGAGGAATGCTGGTGATCGGAGCCAAGAGCCAAGAGAGACTGCTGCTTCGGAGGACCAGCTGGCTGGCAGAGTGAGTACGTTTGAAGCCCCGGGGGGGAGGAGATGGCTGCTGCTCAGGCACAGCAGGGCTATGAGAGCTTCAATATCCCCTTTGAAAGATTAAATGGAGCCAATTGGGAGGACTGGTCCAAACACATGTATTATTGGCTGGAAGGAAAGCAGCTGTGGGAATGCACGCAGGCCGATCCAGTCGTGGCCGGGCCCAATGCAGCAGCTGCAGATGTGGAGAGGGCTGCAGCGGCGGCAAAGAAAGACAAGAAGGCCATGTCCCATGTGGTGATGGCGATTGAAGCGTCGCAGCTCCCTCATATTGATGGCTTACGTACCTGTCATCAGATTTGGTCTGCTCTGACTAGAATACATCAGAGGACCACAGCTGGCGCAAAGATCCAAGTGATACGTTCTCTGTTTGAGAAGAGGCTGTCCCAAGGGGAACCGATAAGGGATCACATTGCTCAGATGCTGACTATCTTCAGTAAGCTGCGTCAGCTCAATGTGCCCTTCCCAGATGAACTTAAGGCTTATACGCTTTTAAGCTCTTTGGACAGGAGTTATGAGAACTTGGTTCTAATGATGGAAACGATGCCGCCGCAGGATCTTACGATTGAATATATTAGCGGACGCTTGATTGACGTAGAATCAAAGCGGCAGAGGGCTGTGAAAGAGGACACAGGCTGCACCCCAAGAAGGAGTGGGGGGGCAGCAGCCAGGAGTGGTGAGGACTGTGTGAGAGCCTTTGTTTCCAAGAGATGCTATCGGTGTGGCAGCAACACACACTTGGTCCGCAATTGTCCACTAGAGGCGCAGGATGGTGCCAAGGACACCGGCCGGCGTGGAACGTCAACAAAGCAAGTTCCCAGAGCCAGACGTGGGAAAGCTGCAGGCCAGGAGAAAAACAAAGACAATGCGTCTTTTCACCTCACAGCTGCGATGGTGTCTCTGGGAAAAGACAAAAGTCTCAGTCGAGGGGAGGCTGCAACCATGGCAACCAGGAAGGACACTTGCAGAAGCCCCGGTGTGGGTGCGAGCAGCACCATGGCAACTTTGGAAGACAGCCAGAGAGGCACTTTACCTTTCGTGGTGGACTCAGGTGCTACTCACAATCTCGTGAATTCACAGGAGCTCCTGAGAAACTGCAAGACAGTTAAAACTGAACGTTATGTTCACTTAGCGGATGGGTCTCGGAGACCACTGACTGAATCTGGGTCTTTATATTGTTCTTTTCTAGATTGTGAGGTGCAAGCTTTTTCTGTTCCAGAGCTTGCCCACTCTCTTTTGAGTGTGTCAGCATTAATGGCTATTGGATTCGATGTTTTGTTCTCTAACAATTTGTGTTCCTTTTACAGGGATGGGAAGAAGATCTACAGTGTTGAGAGGAAAGACAGGCTCTTTCTGGTGGAGATGCCTATTGAAAATGGGGTTGGTGGAAAAATGGGACTGGTGGAAAATGGGGCTAGTGGAGAGTCCATTGAAGATGCACAAGTGCAGTGTGCAAACATCCCACCACACAATGATTGTATTCACATGTGGCACAGGAAATTTGGACACGCGGGGTGGTCGCTTGTGAAAAAAGCCGCAGAGAACACAGTTGGGTGTAGGTTCAAGGCATGTGGCAGATACCTAGATTGTCAAGCCTGTAAGCAATCGAAGGTCACAACATGCACCTACCCCAGGTCAGAGAGGAGAACCAGCAAACCCTTTGAGTTGGTGCATGCAGATTTATCAGGTCCCATGCCAACACCTTCTTTAGCTGGCTCTAAATGGATTCTGGTTCTGATTGACAATTTTTCTAGACATACTTGGTTTTTCTCACTGAGACAGAAGTCAGAAGCAGCTGCACTGATCAGAGATTGGATCACAGCGGTAGAGCTCCGGTTCTCTACCAGGGTGATTTCCTTTCAATCTGATCGCGGGGGGGAGTTCACAGGTTCTGCGCTGCAATCGTTTTTCAGGCAGAAAGGTATCAGTCATCGATTGACGGCCCCCTGCTCTCCGCAACAGAATGGGGTTGCAGAGAGAAAATTTCGCACACTACAGGAATCTGCAAACGCAATGCTGGCAGATTCAGGGTTGCCACAGCGCTTTTGGGCTGAAAGTTATAAGACAGCATGCTTTCTGCAGAATCGGGTGTACAATTCCAGTGTAGGCAACACACCGTTTTTCTTGTTGCATCAGAAGAAGCCGAAGGTGCACTACTTCCACGTTTTTGGATGTCAGGCTTGGGTTCTCATTCCAAAGGCCATGCGCAGAAAGGGTGAGCCAAGGTCTAGGAAGATGATCTTTGTAGGCTATGAGCCGGGTTCAAAGGCGTGGCGTTTCGCATACCCTACTGGCAACCAGTCTAAGCTGCTCATTAGCGGCAGTGCTGAGTTTTGCGAGCAGAGTGGGTGGAAACGTCTTCACGGGAACCCGGATGTTCTGTCAGACTCAGATGAGGAAGAGGAGGAGGATGAGGCTGAACCTGTTGCTGAGGTGCACGGTCCACAGCCACAGAGTCCAGAGTCGGGTTCTCCAAGGGAGAGGCTGCGTATCTCTCCAAAAGGGAGTCCCAGGACCCCTCCACAGGTTTCTGTCAAGTCTGAGCCAAGGAGTGAGCCATCCACACCAGCAGAACCAGCTGTACGCCCAAAATGGCGCAGCAGGTCAGAGGAGGAGGTTTGACACGGGATAGTAGGGCTGATCCAGATGAATCAGGCGCAGTTCCAGAGTTCATGCTGAGGAGGTCAGCAAGGTCAACCAAGGGTAAGCCACCTGAAAGGTATGAAGCCACTAGTGTTTCGGTTGGTGTGGCTGGTGTGTATAGTTATTCAGTCGTGTTTTGCACAAAGACTTTTAAGAATAAAACTCTGCAAGGATAGTCTCGTGGACTCTTTTTGTGCCGACGAGGAGACTGAGGAGACAAAGGGAGGTCAGAACCCTTTCCTTCTTTTTTTTTGCTTTTTACAAACACTGACAGGTTATGGGCCCAGTGTTTCTGAGCATGTGCAGAGTGCAAAACGACTGACAGCATCTCAGCAGGGAGCTGGTGAGTCCTGGTGGTGTACGAAGCCAGTGGCTGTGCGTTGGAGCAGTTGGTGGCAAGCTGTAACTGTCTGCAGCGACGCTGGAGCGGCTAGGATCTGAGGATCAGGAAAGCACTCAGCGTCGGCTACTGGAACAGTTTGAACTGCTAGAGGACCACAGTAGGCGACTCACAGAGCGGCTACACCAGTTGCAGAGCTAGGCGGGACCTGAGGGTCAACAGAGGCAGCAGCTAGAAGCCGGTGAGTGCCAGCCAGGACCATCCAGTTGGACTCTAAAGAGAGAGTCAGGAGAGATTGCTGGAGGCCCCACAGAAGGGGCTCAGCAAGCACCAGCAGAGATGGCAGATTTCCAGTCTTCCCAAGTTGTAAATATTGGGGGAGGCATCCCTTTTGAACTTCTCTCAGAAAGCAACTGGCTGAGTTGGTCAATTAAAATGCAGCAGTTGTTAAGGAGAGATGGACTATGGGACTGTGTTGAAACTGAGGTTTTGAGACGGGACTCTGCTGAGAAAAAACGGCTAGATGAAAGGGCCCGTGCCCAAATTATGCTGTGTTTGAGCAACTCTCAGTTATTGCATGTAGCAAATGCCAGCACAGCGTTTGAGTGCTGGAATTTATTAAGGGCAATGCATGTCAGAGAAACTGCCGGAACTATCATTTCTCTGACCAGGCTGTTCAGGACTGTTATGAAGGAAGGTGAGAGTTTGGCAACTCATCTTCAAACGCTGAAATCTCTGTTTCTTCAACTACAGCAGAGAGGTAAGCGTTATGATGAGACTGACCAAACCTACATTATCCTTTCAAGTTTGCCTGAAAGCTGGTTGCCCGCGATTAACAGCATGGAGAGTATGCGTCCCCAAGATCTGACCCTTGAGTATGTGGTTGGCAGATTGACCGAAGAAGCAGAAAGCAGGTCAGATAAACAGGCTGAACTGCAAGAGCAGAGGAGTTACAGTTGAGGGGGTCAGCAGCAGAATCTGCCAATGGAGCAACGCCAAGGTTTGGACTTGGCCATGGCGGTGAGGAGGTGCTATAGATGCAACCAACCCGGGCATCTCCAACGTCAATGCAGGGCAAGACTTCCAGGAGACGACATGGAGCAGAGACAGCAATCGACGCAGAAACGTAAGCAGAAGGGGTTCTCTTCAGGGAAGAAGAACACACGTTGACAAAACTGGGTTTATGTATATAATGTATGTATGCATTGTTTCTGTTGGGGTTTTTCGCATTTAAGAAACAGAAGGGGTGTCACGGCTAAAATGGCCGCTGTTTCTTTAATGCGAATAAAGCTGGGTCAGCATGAAATGTTAGTTTGTTGCTGAGGCTGGTGTTCGGGTTAGTTGGTTGGTTGGTTGGTGCTGGTGTGTATAGTTATTCAGTCGTGTTTTGCACAAAGACTTTTAAGAATAAAACTCTGCAAGAATATTCTCGTGGACTCTTTTTGTGCCGACAAGGAGACTGAGGAGACAAAGGGAGGTCAGAACCCTTTCCTTCTTTTTTTTTTTTTTTTGCTTTTTACAAACACTGACAAGGACGCACTTTTCCCACTCCAAAAATGAAGGGGAAATGTGTGTGCGTCCTATGGGGCGAATGCAGGCTTTCGCTGAAGCCTGGAGAGCGAGAAGGGTCGCTCTCGCTCTCCAGGCGTCACGCAGATCTCCGCAAGACGTAGGAGGAACCCGCGCTGGGCTCCAACGGCTTGCGGAGAGTTGCCTGTATGCTGAAGCCTGGGCATATCCCCGCTATAACACACAAGTTCTAATTAAATCCTAGTCTTTACTATACCTAAACATTGAGCACCACAGACTACTACTAATAATAGTAATAATAATTTATTATTTATACCCTGCCCATCTGGCTGAGTTTCCCCAGCCACTCTGGGTGGCTCCCAATCGAGTGTTAAAAACAGTAAAGCATTAAATATTAAGAACTTCCCTAAACAGGGCTGCCTTCAGATGTCTTTTAAAAATAAGATAGCTGCTTAATTCCTTGACATCTGATGGGAGGGCATTCCACAGGGCAAGCGCCACTACCCAGAAGGCCCTCTGTCTGGTTCCCTGTAACCTCACTTCTTGCAGGGAAGGAACCGCCAGAAGGCCCTCGGCGCTGGATCTCAGTGTCCAGGTTGAACGATGGGGGTGGAGACGCTCCTTCAGGTATACAGGACTGAGGCCGTTTAGGGCTTAAAAGGTCAGCACCAACACTTTGAATTGTGCTCAGAAACATACTCAAATATTCCTCTGCAGTAAAGGAGGCAAATGGAAGCCTTCCCATTGTCTTTGTGCTTACAAATACTGTCTTAAGGAGGGATGAACAGGGTGGGCCTGTGACCTGGATTCAGGAACTAAAGTATTTACCATCACAAAAGAATGGCCAGGCTGCCCAGGTAATGCAGTTAGTGACCATTAACAGGTATCCTTGGGGACAGGTTTTCTGCTGTAGACCGCCTTCTGTGATCTATTCCTGCTGTAGGCAGTCTCCTTCTGTATGATATTTGGGGGTGGGTGGTCTTGGGTGGGCAATTTCAAAAGACTATATAAGGCCGTGCACACCTCCCTCCTGGTTGTGGTGAGGGGGGGGGACACTGTTGCAATAAAGATCAGGGTTACTAGCCACTTTGCTTCTCCATATACTCTGCTTGGCCTCTGTTATTTTCTCCTACCAATATGGAACCCACTTAAGGACTATATGGGCTCTTGAATACCCCATAAGGGGAAAGGAGCAGGTTTTTTCTTACAACAAAGGTCGTAAGAAAATATTTTAAGATGCCTAGACAGCATCTTAAAAAGTAGAGACATCACCTTGCCAACAAAGGTCCGTATAGTAAAAGCTATGGTTTTCCCAGTAGTGATGTATGGAAGTGAGAGCTGGACCATAAAGAAGGCAGATCGCCAAAGAATTGATGCTTTTGAATTATGGTGCTGGAGGAGACTCTGGAGAGTCCCATGGACTGCAAGAAGATCCAACCGATCCATTGTGAAGGAGATCAGCCCTGAGTGCTCACTGGAAGGACAGATCGTGAAGCTGAGGCTCCAAGACTTTGGCCACCCCATGAGAAGAGAAGACTCCCTAGAAAAGACCCTGATGTTGGGAAAGATGGAGGGCACAAGGAGAAGGGGACGACAGAGGACGAGATGGTTGGATAGTGTCTTCAAAGCTACAGACATGGGTCTGTCCAAACTGTGGGAGGCAGTGGAAGACAGGAGGGCCTGGCTGCTCTAGTCCATGGGGTCACAAAGAGTCGGACACGACTAAACAACTAAACATCAAACAAGAATATGTTTGGTTGGCACGCTTATTTATGGCAGGATAAAACTAAAACACACAAGAGCTTTATGAATCAGGTTATTCAGAAAATCCTTTTTACAGTATGGGATAAATATAATAATCTGCTGGAAAGAAAAACACCTCTTTGGCTTCCACCCACAAAAGCAACAGCTTTTTAAAAAATGCAATACGGAAGAAGCAATGGGCAACTTACAGAGATCTTTTGGACTTTTCGGAAGAAGAAATAAAACTGAATAAACAGGATGAGGAGGGAGGTGTGATGGCAGATTGGTTTCAATACCATCAAATCATCTTGTTTGGACAAGATAAAGGGAGAGGTTTTTGGACTGAAAGTTCACAGTTTGAAAGAGATATTATGGCGAGGAAAGAAAAAGTGTTTCCCAAATTTCAGGTAGAAAATTGTCCAATCTGAAGAAATGTGCATGCAAACGAAAGCTCATCCCCAGAACAAACTCTTAGGTACTACTGAACAATTTTTAATAATTAGAGCTGGGCTTGATGTTAATGTGCTAACTGTTTCCTAATATTTGAGCTGACATTATATCGCAGATCCAATGTGTATAAGGACTAGGAAATATCTGATTTTCAATATCGTGATAACTCGTCAGCTAACAGTTGCAATGTTCTCACCAGCTAAACCTCACAATATGAGCTGCTAAACGTTGCCATGTTATCAGCAGCTAAAGATTGCAATCAGGGTGGATACAATCAATGATTTTTTTAAAAAAAATTAAAATCGGATTGTTTTATTTAAATCAGATTTTTTTAATCAGAATTTAAAAAAAAATAAAATGCTTTTAGAGGAAAAAGTCTATCTAAAGATAGTTTTATATTTAATTACATTATAGTCCAAAGGCTATTCATCAGGAAATAAGGATATCTTTTTAATGATCTAGCATGAGGCTTTATATGGAATATTTAATTTTTTGGGTAAATGAATTCCATTAATCCATTCACAATGTCATGCTCTTCCAGAGGTTTTTGTAAGATTATTTGGGGAAGTTTTTCTAAAGAGACGATATTGTCACAGATGCTTGTTTTTGCCATTCTCAAAAGTGTGAATTTGTGTATCTGCAGAGATAACATGCCTTTTCTTCACAGGAAAAATGTTATAAAATAAACATACAGAGTTGACGGAAAACCTTAATCCCATTGTTCCAATGCAGAATTATATACACAGAATCAACCCCTTAAATGCTGAGTTCTAAGAGGTTCAATGAACAGATGGTTTGCAGTGGAAGAGATCTGCACAAGTAGCTAAGTGTGAAGCAGTAAAAATGAAAGTTCAACCTTGTGAGCAGAATACTCCACACATCTTGGGGTCTTTGTGTAATAATTGTGCAAGTCAGACTTGAGGCAAGCGCTGAAGGCTCTTCAGGGCTGGCAACCTCTTCCCAATCCCACTGGGTTCCAACAGCCGCACTAACACTTAACTGTACAGAATAGGCACCTATCCAAAGGGGTGGCTGGTAGTGGAGGTGGTGAAAGGCGTAAGTTCCGAGTTTTTCATGTGCGCTAAAACTCAGTCTGCTTGGTTGTTGTTTTTTATATATAAAAAAAATCTTTTTACCAACATGCTATAATATTGTTTTAGTTAAATAAATTGTTTAAGTTGTTATTAAGGAAATGATTATTTTTCTCTTTCCAATAAATTACAGCAGAAATGTTGTCCAAATATGGACAGTAAACTTATTAAACCTCAGAATGATTTCATAATTATCTGCCTGTGTATTTCTAACAGTGTAACCAAATCAGAAATTTTTGATTTAAACAGAATCATACTGACTAGTGATTGATTGTAAATTGTGATTGAAATCAATTTGATTTATATCAAATCCACCCTGATTGCAATCTACCACAACATCTGAACTAAGGCTGGAACTGTATAGAGGCGAACAGGACAATGTCCTGGCAGCTGCTACTACTTAGGGGTCTGAAACGGATAAATGAAAATATTATCAATCCTCACACACTCAGTTTCATCAGCAGGGAAGCCAAGATGCATCCCAGCAGGACTTTTGGGTTTGCGCTAGGCTACCAAATGGTGGTATATTCAGGATAATCCAAAGTATGGAGATGAGTCCTAGTGAATAGAGTTAACCTGGTAGTGTCATCAGGGAAGGAGGGAGGGTCAGGGGTGCTGGAAGGGGAGGGGTCTCTGTCGAGGCTCCTCCCCTTCCTTTAACCCTTCCATGAACTCCCTCTCTTCCCCAGCCAGGCGCCCCACGACCCCAGGGATTCCTGCCAGGGGGAAGCCGGGAGAATGGGGGGCCTCAGCCCCACCCCCAGCCCTGCTTGGGGTCCTCCTTCCCCTTCCCGCCAGGGCAGCTGAGCATCTCTCGGCCCCCCAGGAAAGAGAAAGGGGAGTCTGACAGTGCTGCTGCTGCCCAGGAGACCTTGCAAGGTGTAGATCCCTGCAGGTCTTGGGTCCCCCCTTCCCCCCTGGGTCGGGGCCTGGATCGGGGCCCCTGTCGACGGGCCCCAGGGAGGGCGCTTTCCTTACGGAGGGGTCTCTTTGTCCTCCCCCCTTATCCCCCCTCTGTTTCCCCCCCTTCTCTCCCCCTTTACCTCTTGGTCCTCCGCCTCCCTGGCTCCGGATTAGTCCGCTTTCCTTATGCGCAAAGAAAGGGCGGCGGCGACAGGGGGAGGGGGGGCTCTTCAGCGACGCCCCTCCTCCTCCTTTCCCTGTCTGGCCACTTCCGGCGCATTTCCCAGCGCCACTTCCGGCTCCTTTTCCGACGCGCTTGCCCCTAGAGCTACATCTTCAAGAGTAGCCCCTCCCTGTGTCCGGAGGGGAAGGCGACGGGGCGGCGCTGCCTCTGGCCTCCTGCTCTGGGGGCTCCATGGGGACCCGGCCCCCGCCCCCCAACTGGCGGCAGGGAGGGAGGGGGGGAAGCTGGGCAAGTTGAGGCAGGGGGAGGATCTCCTTCTGGGCCTCCTTCTGCATGCCAAGCACTCAGCCGGGGTCCTTCTGCATGCAGAGCAACGGCTGCATTGCTGAGCTACGCCCCTAACAGCCCAGCCCAGCTTCAAACACCAGCCCCTCTCCTCCCCCCCCATTAAAAAACCACCCCCTGGATTGGGAGGCAGTGAGGGATCCAGACAGAGAGAGGCGCCCTTGCCCGGGAATTCCCTTGCCAGCAGGGAGACTTCAAAAGCCCCCCCCCATGCCTCCCCCTTCCCTCATTCAGTAGGGAGACTTCTTAAATTATTCTGTTCATTAGTGATATTTCACATAGCGTTTGTGAATGCAAAGCAATTCTGGCTCTTATGATCCCTGCAGGGTATTAAGTGTTGTTCTAACCTCCCTATTGCAGGTGGATAGAGGAATGTGGGGCTTGCTTATAATATCTTAGGGTGGTAGGATGAACATTTGGGACTGGGACTTTCAGATTCACATGAGATTTCTTCTGCAAAGAGGCCTGAAGATGTTTGGCTTTACCTGTCCCAGTTGTCGTCCCAATAGCCGCAGTTGGGCTTCTCCAGCCAGGTGCCAGGGCAGGGCAGGAGGCTGCGTTGGCCGGAGAAGACAGAAGCAGTAGCAGCAGAAGAGTTTGGATTTGATATCCCGCTTTATCACAACCCTTAAGGAGTCTCAAAGCGGCTCACATTCTCCTTTCCCTTCCTCCCCACAACAAACACTCTGTGAGGTGAGAGGGGCTGAGAGACTTCAGAGAAGTGTGACTGGCCCAAGTAACCCAGCAGCTGCATGTGGAGGAGCGGGGAATCGAACCCGGTTCCCCAGATTACAAGACTACTGCTCTTAACCACTATACCACACAGCCCTGGTGGAGAACCGGTAGGGGAACCAGGGCGTAGCTGGAGCTTTTACTCACCACCTGCTGCTGCTTCCCAACCCGCAAGCGGCAGCTGCGGCCGCTGCAACAAATTGCTTGAACGCCATGGGAGGAATGAAGGAGGGAGGGGGTGACGAAGAAAGCGCGTGAGGAAGCAGCACGGAGAAGGGGCACAGAAAAGGAAGGAAGGGCGGACTGAGGGAGAGGGAGGAGGAGCAAGAGGAAAACTCAGCAGCAGCCGGCAGCCAGCGTCACACCCCCTTCCCAGCGCCACCCTTCTGAGGCAGGCAGGCGGGTGAGCCGACTCCCCCCGTTGATGGCACCCGGTGTGGGACAAGATTGCTCGTCCCTGAGGAGAAAAGCGCCGCCGTGTGAGGGAGAGGGAAAGAACGTGCGTGCTGGCAATCCACGTGGCGATTCTTGGACCGTCCGCAGGCCAGATCTAGAAGGCAATTGCGCCTGATCCGGCCCACAGGCCTTAGTTTGCCAACCCAGATGCTTGGAGATTCAGACCCCCATTAGAACAAGAGTAAACATGTTCTTCTGATTCAAAGGATTCTGCGGGAAGAAGAAACATGATCTGGATATTGAAGGAACTGCCTACAGGATTAAAGACTGTAGAGATCCAGCCAAGAACTATATCAGATCAAAACTCAAAATGGATGATAATGAGGGGTGAAAAGAGTTCATTGCATAGATGGAGACTAAAACACTGAATTACAACATATTCCAATTACGTTAGAGTATCAAAAAATGTTAAAAACTTTGGAAATATAGGGGAGGATGAAACTTTCACTTTTACGAAGGATTTCAACCATAAAGAGAAAAGTTTTACCTAAGATACTGTTTTTATTCTGAATTACCAATAATAAATAATACAAGCTTCTTTAACAAATGTCAAAGAGATATTTCATGATTACTCTAGCAGAGGGGAAACACCAAGAATACAGTATAAAATTTTGATAGATACAAAAAATAGAGGTGGCTTCGCACTGCTAGATTTTCTACTATGAAGCAGCCTCTTCGTGTTGGTTAAAAAAATGGATATCGTTGGACAACACACTATTGCTGGATACTCAGTGGAATCTCGGTAGTTGAACGCTTCAGAAGTCGAATGTTTGGGGATTTCAAATGCCAACAACCCGGAAGTGAATGCTTCTATTTTTGAAAGCAATTTATAAATAAAATTATATATAGTGGTACCTTAGGATAAGTACTTAATTCGTTCCGGAAGTCCGTTCTTAATCTGAAACTGTTCTTAACCTGAAGCACCACTTTAGCTAATGGGGCCTCCTGCTGCCGCTGCACCGCCGGAGCACAATTTCTGTTCTCATCCTGAAGCAAAGTTCTTAACCTGAAGCACTATTTCTGGGTTAGCGGAGTCTTTAACCTGAAGCGTATTGTAATGGTTCTAGGGGTTGCTCGTGCGCAAACCGGTGCCAACACCTGGCTGGGTTGCCTGAGTCAACCTTTTCTGTCCGGACAGCCACTCACCCATGGCTGTCTCAATCGCTGGCAGAATCCGTCAGTGGGCGTTTCTTAAACTTCTTCCAGCAAAGCTCTTTGACGCCTAGTCTCCTCCTACTCTCCCTGCGCGGAAGCCTTCTGCGCAAGGAGGGCGTAGGCAGCGGAGGATCCTTACTCTCCCCGCTGGTCCCCGGCAAGGAGTCATGGGACCGCCTCGCCGATTCCCCCATCTGCCCCCCTTCTCCACTGGTGCTACGCTGATTCTCTTCCCCAGAAGATGGGCTGCCTCTCCCCATCCCGGGACGCTCTCTGGAATCTCTCTGGAGCTTGCTCTCTCCCTCCGGCACTGATGGCAGTTCCCTGACACATATGTAACCTGAAGCATATGTAACCCGAGGTACCACTGTATTAATAAAATTATCTATATATAAAGCAATCGAAACACTTCCCACACTCCTTCCATTCAATCCATTTATGATTTTCTGTTTGTGGATTGTAGGGTTTCAACTCTTAAAGCTTTTCCTCCTTGCGAGTCCATTGATGTTTTGTAGGAACATCAGGACTGAAGCTCTACGTACACTCCGTATACGTAAGTGGTTTTCCCTCTTTGAGTTTGCTGGTGTTTGCCAAGGTTTCCACTTCTATTGAAGCTCTTTCCACACTCCATACATTTATTTGCTTGTCCCCGAGTGAGTCTGTTGATGTCGTCTAAGTTTCCTGTGTGTGAAATTAGGGTTCCACTGTTGGGAAAAAGCAGCAAGGCAAAAGCCAGCTCCAGATAGCTGGAATGCAAAACAGGATGTTGTGGTTTCTCACTGTACTGTTGGAGAAAAGGTGGAGCCTATTCTCTGTACTGAGCACCGGATGTTAGCTCAGTGTGTCATCTGACCTGTGCTGGAAGTACAGGGGAGGAGGTGTGACTCTTCTAATGGAGACTGAAGGGTGCAGTCACATTTCTATGTACTGTTGAGTGACAGGAATAAAACATGTAGAAAGGACTCCTGTCTGTCTCATTTCTCCTCCCTGGGAGAATGCAGGGAGTGAGAGAAAAGCAGAGGGTGTGTTCTTCTCACGTCTAATGAGAAGAATCGCCGGGTTGTTTACCTAGTCTGCCGGGGAGTATCGCAGACGGACGGTAAGCACAGTATCTCGCTCAATTGCCTCGGGGGAGGCCAGGTACCTCTGCCTGTGAGCTGAGAAACTATTTCAACTCTCCATACATTTAAATGGTTTCTCCCGTGTGAGTCTGTTGATGTCTTCTAACATTTCCAACATTGGTGAAGCCCTTTCCACGCTCCTTACATTTAAATGGTTTCTCCCCTGTGTGAGTCCATTTATGTTTTCTAAGTGTTCCACTGCGATTGAAGCTCTTTCCACACTCAGTGCATTTAAATGGTTTCTCCCCAGTGTGAGTTCGATGATGGGTTCTCAGCTCTCTACTCTCAATAAAACTCTTTCCACATTCCATGCATTTTAATGGTTTTTCCCCTGAGTGAGTCCACTGATGTCTTCTTACTGCACCACTCCGACTGAAGCTCTTTCCACACTCCACACATTTATATGGTTTTTCCCCTGTGTGAATTCGATGGTGGATTCTAAGTGTTTGACGATCAGTGAAGTTCTTACCACACTCCATGCAATTAAATGGTTTCTCCCCTGTGTGAATCCTTTGATGTCTTCTTACTGCTCCATTAGAAGTGAAGCTTTTTCCACACTCCATACATTCAAATGGTTTTTCCCCCGTGTGAGTCCGTTGATGGATTCTAAGTGTTCCACTACAAGTGAAGCTTTTTCCACACTCCTTACATTCAAATGGTTTTTCCCCTGTGTGAGTTTGATGATGGATACTAAGTGCTGTACCATCAATAAAACTCCTTCCACATTCCATGCATTTAAATGGTTTCTCCCCTGTGTGAGTCCGTTGATGTTTTCTCAGTGCTTCACTGTAAGTGAAGCTCTTTCCACAATCCATACATTTATATGGTTTTTCCCCTGTGTGAGTTCGATGATGGATTCTAAGGCTTCGGTTATTAGTGAAGCTCCTACCACACTCCATACATTCAAATGGTTTTTCCCCAGTGTGAGTTTGATGATGAATATTCAGTCCTCTCTTTGTACTGAAACTCTTTCCACACTCCAAACATTCAAATGGTTTCTCCCCTGTGTGAATCCGTTGATGGATTCTAAGGTATCCACTCTGACTGAAGCTCTTTACACATTCCATGCATTTGAATGGTTTCTTGCCCGTGTGTGTCTGTTGATGTTTTCTAAATGTTCCACTATCGGTGAACCTCTTTCCACACTCCATACATTTATAAGGTTTTTCCCCTGTGTGGGTTCGTTGATGGTTTCTAAGGTGTCCAATCTGACTGAAGCTCTTTCCACACTCCTTACATTCATATGGTTTCTCCCCCGTGTGAGTGTGTTTATGTATACGAAGGTTTGAACTCCAACCAAAGCTTTTTCCACACTCCATGCATTTAAATGGTTTCTCTCCTGTGTGAGTCCGTTGATGTTTTCCAAGTGTTCCACTGTCAGTGAAACTCTTCCCACACTCCATACTTTCAAATTGTTTCTCTCCTCTCTTTTCACATTCCATGAATTTATATGGTTTCTTCGTTATTCCCATTGGACATGGCCCTCCATAATTTTGACTGCCTTCTCCATTGTCTTCTTTCAACAGGGAGGAGCGGGGGGAAAGGAAACCTAGGAAGAGAACAAAGGAATATTACACACATCAATTAGCACCTGTTCTTATTTTAACATCTTGTAAATTCTCTCCTGTCCTCCATATGTTCCAATTTTTTAGCATAGGCAAAAGAAAAAATGTTAAATAATGGTAATGCATCATCAACCTTTCATAATCCTTAATTATTGTTAATGAAGCAGCATTATCTTAGAATACGGTTGAACTGTGGGGTTTACGTTTTATAAAAAGTGATTTCTCACAGGAACGGGAGCTGCTCTATGTTCCATGAACCTGGCCAATATTAATCAGGATCCTAAATTCATCATGAAGTTTTTCATCCGCTGCACTATAATCCTCCACCCCTTGGGCCACATTTTGTCCCCTTCGACCTCTAGATCTTTATTCATCACCTGCACATTCCCTTTGGCCTCAGGAGGTCCATACTGACCATTTTGGGAGACCCATATATAAGTCTAGTGATGTTACCGGAAAAAAATCCGAGGGCTCCCTTGGACAAAAACAAAGACACCAACCAGGATAACTTGGAGCAAAACAGCAGCCTGTAGGCTTGGCCTTTATTGAACTGTTGCAACAGGGTGTTCCCCTCACTTGCAGGAGAGAGGAAAAGACCCAGAAAGATGGTGTGCAAGACCTTATAAAAACTTTTGAAATTCCCATCCTCCAGGTCAAGCCCACCCCCAGAAACATCATGCATACATTACAGAAGGGGTTGACATCCTGCATACATTACAGAAAGGAGGGGATGAGGGAGGAGTTGTGGTGGTAACCTGAGTGTCCTGTCACCTGGCTGGTTCTTCCTTTCCCCCTTCCCATGAGTCACTTCCAGGAGACAAAGGGGAGTTTGCAGTTTCCTGCCCTCCCCGGGAAGATCGGATCATTGTCCATTGTTTCAGTCCATGCTGAACCCACTCCCATATGCAAGTTCTTTGCGATCTTGATTGTCTTCTGTCTGGGATCATCAGGGTTGACATAGCAACTGGGCAGGGCTCCTGTGGATGTGCTGGGATGGTGAAGGGATTATGGCTGACCAGAACCAAGCCACCCCCCTTTGATAGTCCTTGTCATATGGAGTAAAATAAAAATTGTTGTTGTTGTTTAGTCGTTTAGTCGTGTCCGACTCTTCGTGACCCCATGGACCAGAACGCGCCAGGCACTTCTGTCCTCCACTGCCTCCCGCAGTTTGATCAAACTCATGCTAGTAGCTTCAAGAACACCATCCAACCATCTCATTCTCTGTCGTCCCCTTCTCCTTCCAAAATAAAAATGGAACAGTGCAAATCCGATGTATGGTTGATTTTCTATGAATTTATAACAGAAATGTGGTGTATGTAGTGTGTGAGAGTGTGTGAAGTTTGTACAAACAGAATGATTGGGGTGGGGTGGGGGTTCTTGCTACAGTGACAAGGCTTGGTGCTTGTGGTCGGTTGAAGGAGTGCTCAGTGGGACAATGTTCTTGGGGTTGGACCTCCATCTCTCAGCCTTGCATTCTTGAATGGAGAGAGCTGGAGATGCAGAAGGAAAGCAGCTGGAACCTGACCGCTGGGATGGCCAGATTGAGAAACCCACCCCATTATGATTTATAATAATTATATGCCGCCAGGTCTCGCACCTGCCTCCTGACACTGGCTTATCTTAGCGGAGATTCCCTGTCCAGGCCTCTCTCACTGTTCTTCCGCCTTTGCCCTGGGTGGCCAAGGGCTTCTGGATATTCTAGCTCTGCTCCAACTGGGAATTATTTATTAAATTATTATACCTCTCTTCATCTGAAGATCAGAAGATAAAAATATGTATGTCACTGAAAAAGGTGAGTATTAAAGGTGAATAACACTGATTGTGGGAAGAAAAGAAAGATGAAACCAGTGGTGTGCCAGCTGAATGTAATATAAATAATAATAATAATAATAATAATAATAATAATAACAACCAATCTTCAAATCAGTTTCATATTCCCTGGCTGTATTTCTCAGCCATGATTGTGACTCAGAATCTTAGCCACACTTTATTCTAGAATATCAACTGGATCTCTTTGTAATGGGAGCCAGACATCCCTGAGGTTTCATCCAGACATTCCTTTAGTGTGGGCAGCAGCAGCAGCGGAGAAAGGAAGGAAGCAATTTGGGGAAAACGATTTCCTTCGGAAGGTCTTCCCAGCGGCCAGCAGGGTTGATAAACTGCTCAGTGGGGACACCTTGGATTTATAGTGTTAGGGTCTGGATAGCAATCACAATCCCTTGGAAATATCTCAAGAACCCTTAAGATCCAATTTCACCAACTCCCAAATAACACTGAGCCCCAGAGGAACCGTCTATGCTGAGAGGAGGCACCTCTGGCCCTGCAGATGTGGTTGGACTCAAAGGACCACCTGCCCAAGCAAGGATGGCCCATGGCCAGGGAGGATGGGAGTCTTATCTGGGGGGACACACTTTCTCCATCTTCCCCCTCCTCTGAAAACGCTTTCATTCCTCCTTCCTCCGTGATCTCCAACATCTTCCTGATACAGTCCAACCAGCTGCACACATTCCCAAATCATCCTGCACCACTGACTTCCCGAGGCGGCTGCATTGTGTCTTGGACACTGGCAATGGGAGAGCACCTTCCACTGGATGAGAGGATAGAGGGTTAAATCAGGGCTGGCCAACTGGGACTCCGCTCCCTCCCCTCCTTGCCCCTCCCTGCATCTCCTGCCTGAGGGGGCTGCCTTGGTTTCCCTCATGGGGGAGCAGGCCCTGAGAACAGCCTTGTCTCTGCCCCCCAAAATACAGGAAACACAACAAAGAAGGCCCTGGAGTGTCACTGTGGAACACAACCACAACCACAACAACAACAACTGGTTGTAAGTCACTTTGGGCTGCCCTGAGCAAGAGAAAGCAACTAATAGATTAAATAAATAAATAATTGATTAACCCTTCCATGGACTCCCCAGTCTCCACCCAAAGGGGACCCACCAAGCCAGAATCGTGGCACCCCAGGGATTCCTGCCAGGGGGTTCAAGTCCCATCCCTGGGGGTGGGGGCTCCCATTTTTATTGCCTCAAAGGCACCCAAGTGGGGGCAGGGGAGTTGAACATCTCTTAATAATAATAATAATAATAATAATAATAATAATAATAATAATAATTTATTATTTGTACCCTGCCCATCTGGCTGGGTTTCCCCAGCCACTCTGGGCGGCTTCCATCAAAGATGAAAAATACACTAAAATTTCACATATTAAAAACTTCCCTGAACAGGGCTGCCTTCAGATGTCTTCTGAATGTCAGGTAGTTGTTTATCGCTTTGACATCTGCTGGAAGGGCGTTCCACAGGGCGGGCGCCACTACTGAGAAGGCCCTCTGCCTGGTTCCTTGTAGCTTTGCTTCTCGCAATGAGGGAACCGCCAGAAGGCCCTCGGCGCTGGACCTCAGCGTCCGGGCAGAATGATGGGGGTGGAGACGCTCCTTCAGGTATACTGGACCGAGGCCGTTTAGGGCTTTAAAGGTCAGCACCAACACTTTGAATTGTGCTCGGAAACGTACTGGGAGCCAATGCAGATCTCTCAGAACCGGTGTTATGTGGTCCCGGCGGCCGCCCCCAGTCACCAGTCTAGCTGCCGCATTCTGGATTAGCTGTAGTTTCTGAGTCACCTTCAAAGGTAGCCCCACGTAGAGCACATTGCAGTAGTCCAAGCGGGAGATAACCAGAGCATGCACCACTCTGGCGAGACAGTCTGCAGGCAGATAGGGTCTCAGCCTACGTACCAGATGGAGCTGGTAAACAGCTGCCCTGGATACAGATTTGACCTGTGCCTCCATGGACAACTGTGAGTCCAAAATGACTCCCAGGATGCGCACCTGGTCCTTCAGGGGCACAGTTACCCCATTCAGGACCAGGGAATCCTCCACACCTGCCTGCCTCCTGTCCCCCAAAAACAGTACTTCTGTCTTGTCAGGATTCAACCTCAATCTGTTAGCCGCCATCCATCCTCCAACCGCCTCCAGACACTCACACAGGACCTTCACCACCTTCACTGGTTCTGATTTAAAAGAGAGGTAGAGCTGGGTATCATCCGCATACTGATGAACACCCAGCCCAAACCCCCTGATGATCTCTCCCAGCGGCTGCATGTAAATGTTGAAAAGCATGGGGGAGAGGACAGAACCCTGAGGCACCCCACAAGTGAGAGCCCAGGGGTCTGAATACTCATCCCCCCACATTTTCTGAACACGGCCCAGGAGGAAGGAGCAGAACCACTGTATGACAGTGCCCCCAGCTCCCAGCCCCTCAAGACGGTCCAGAAGGATGTTATTGTCGATGGTGTCAAAGGCCGCTGAGAGATCCAGCAGAACTAGGAAACAGCTCTCACCTTTGTCTCTAGCCCGCCGGAGATCATCAACCAGTGCGACCAAGGCAGTTTCAGTCCCGTGATGAGGCCTGAATCCCGACTGGAAGGGATCCAAATGGTCCGCTTCTTCCAGGCGTGCCTGGAGTTGTTCAGCTCAATCACCTTGCCCAAGAATGAAAGATTTGAGACTGGGCGATAGTTGGCCATCGTGGCCGCATCTAAATATGGCTTTTTAAGAAGTGGTTTAATAACCACTTCTTTCAGCGGGTCTGGGAAGGCTCCCTCACGGAGGGAAGCATTCACCACCCCACGAAGCCCATCGCCCAGTCCTTCCCGGCTAGCTTTTATAAACCAGGATGGGCAAGGATCCAGGAGACAGGTGGTTGGCTTCACTTGTCCAAGCAGCCTGTCCACATCCTCGGAGGTAACAGGTTGGAATTGATCCCACACAACTTGACTAGACAGGACTCTAGCACTCTCCCGCCCCAGCCCTGCTCCCACGGTGGAGTCTACTTCTTCCCGAATCTGAGCGATTTTATCTGCAAAAAGCTTTGCAAAATCATTGCAGGAGATCATGTGGCCCGTACTGGGCCCAGATGTCGCAGGTGGTTCTGCTAAATTGTGAACCACCTGAAAAAGTCTCCTGCTGCTGTTTTCTGCAGATGCAATAGAGGCGGCGAAGACAGCTGAGCATCTTCTTGCGCTGCAAAGGAGATCTTGCAATGCAAACCCTGCCGGTGCTCCCTCTGCAGAAAGCCCCCCCCCCCCCGCCGCCGCCGCCGCATTTCCCATAGTAAAAGGCAGGAAAGCTGATCTGGGGGTGGGGCGTGCAATGCAATCCCTGCAAATGGAGGGGCCCCGATCTTCAGCCGAATTACATGCATCGGGGCTGAGTTGTTGTTGTTGGGGTCCCTGCCCCCTTCCCCCCCCGCAGCTCTACCTCTTTGTCCTCTCTGTCCCTCCGCTTCCCTCGCTCGCTCTGCTATTTCCATTTCCTTCCCCGCAATACAAAGGGCTGGGGGTCTCCAAGGAGGCGCCCCCTCGGGGGGAGGGGCTCCTTTCTCCTAAACCAGCCCCTCCCCCGCTCGCCGGATCCCCAGAAGGGGGGGAGGGGGAGGAACCCCCCAGTTTCCTTTCATCCCCCCCAAATCCTGCCCCCCCTTCCCAGCGCCTCCTTCTCCCCCCCCCCAATATATAGATATATTTCGCACCTCTTTTCCCTCCTCCTCTGCAGAGCTGCTCCTCTTCTGGAAGGTGGATCAGGCCCCTCCCCTCCCCCCTTGGCCCCCCTCCCTGCCTCTCTAGGAAGAGGAGTTCACTGACGGGGGGGGGAGGAATGAGTGGCCCCTCCCTCCCCGACAGACAAATTCTCCTTCCAAACAAGCTCCGTTTTCTTGATTCTTTCCTGAGAGGGTCCCGGGTTCGATCCCCGGAGGCGGCAGGGAAGGAGACCCCCCCCAACTGGGAAAAAGTCCTCCGGGGCAGGAAGGGGACATCCCCCCTTCATCTCTTTTAATCCCTTGCCGGGAGAGGGGGGGTCCGGTCAGTTTCACCCCCATTTCCCCGACGGGGGGGAGGCAGGGCCGGGGCGCAGGGGGTCCCCGTTACAACAGCCCTGCAAAGTAGACCAGAGTTGCTACGCCCTTTTGGGACTTAGAGAGTAACTTAAAAGTAAAGGGACCCCTGACCATTAGGTTCAGTCATGGCCGACTCTGGGGTTGCAGCGCTCATCTCACTTTACTGGCCAAGGGAGCCGGCGTACAGCTTCCGGGTCACGTGGCCAGCATGACTAAGCCGCTTTCTGTGCGCTGCTCTGGTTCGCCATTTACCTTCCGCTGGAGTGGTACCTATTTATCTACTTGCACTTTGACGTGTGGTGCATATCTCTGCCTTCAGACGGAGGGAGCCAGGCAGCTTTCTGGGTCATGTGCCCAACTTTTCATGAGCTGAAATTAAATCCCAAAAGACCTACAGCTGCTTGTTACAAGGGGGGGGGCAGATTCAGGTAGTTTTAAACCTGTTGATGACGGTTAATGACTGCAATTGGTCTTACAGGAAAAAGCAAGGGGTGAAATGGCTAAAACAGCTTTATCATGTATAATGAGATAAAAATCCAATGTCTCTGTTCAGACCAGGTCTCTCCGTGGTTTTAAGTTTGGTAATAAGTTGCAATTCATCAACTTTTCTTTCCAGTCTATTTCTGAAATTCCTTTGTAATAAGACAGCTACTTTGAGATCTTGTATAGAATGTCCTGGGAGACTGAAGTGTTCTCCTACTGGTTTCTCTGTCTTGTGATTCCTGGTGTCAGATTTATGTCCCTTTCTAAAATACACTGAGACTATCTTATAACATATCCCCATTATAACACACAAGTTCTAACTAAATCCTAATATTTACAATACCTAAACACTGAGCACCACAGACCTATTATAATAATAATATTAGAATAATTTATTATTTATACCCCGCCCATCTGGCTGAATTTCCCCAGCCACTCTGGGCAGCTTCCAATTGAGTGTTAAAAACAGTATAGCATTAAATATCAAAAACTCCCTAAACAGGGCTGCCTTCAGATGTCTTTTAAAAATAGGATAGCTGCTTATTTCTTTGACATCTGGTGGGAGGGCGTTCCACAGGGCAGGTGCCACTACCAAGAAGGCCCTCTGCCTGGTTCCCTGTAACCTCACTTCTCGCAATGAGGGAACCGCCCCACTTTGGGGGGCAGCAGAGGCTTTTCGGAGGGGGATTGGGGCCCGAAGGGGGACAGCAGGACAGGCAGCGGCCTTGGCAGGCTTCCCCAGCAGAGGATAGGGCAGTAGGGCGGTTCATAAAAAACTTTTTTTTAAAAAAAATGCCTGCTCCAAAGGTCTTAACTTATTACACTAAGGATTATATAGCTATATATGTGTTATGGGGAAAACTGGGGTTTGGTTTTGACAGCTCCCCAACTCCTTCCAGGTGAAAATAACAATTCTTGGGGTGCCCTACCTTAAAGCGCTTTCCAACTTTGCTGGAGTCTAGCCCTGCGGATGCTGGATTGATCAGAAAACGCGAGACGGCAGGCAAGCAATGAGGAAGCAAATCTGTGGCCAGAAGGCCTGATCCTTTATTTGTTGCAACAAAGGTCTCAATCTCTAAGGAGAGCAAAAAAGAAAATGTCCAGAACAAAGATTACACGAGTTTTTAATAGTTCCCACAACACATTTCTCATAGTGTCATCAAAACATCACAGGTATGTCCCGGAAGAGGAGTGGTGTTGGGCAGAAATCTGTGATCCAGACATGCCCATGTCAATCACACCTTGTTTCAACATCCAACACAAGGAAAAGAAAATATCATCACTGAGGTCCACTTCCGAGGGTCTTCTGGCAGTTCCCTCACATTTACAGGGTACCAGGCAGAGGACCTTCTCGGTAGTGGCACCCTCCCTGTGGAACACACGCCCCCATCAGATGTCAAAGAGATGTCTTTTGGAAGACCTCTGAAGGCAGCCCTGTTCAGGAGCAGGGCGGAGATCTCTCAGAAGTGGAGGCTTTGCGCTGAGAGATCCCTGCCTCCACTCCTCCTTGCACACAAGTAGGAGCGGGAGTGGGAAGCTCCGCTGAGGAGCAGTCTGGCTGCCTTCAAGTGGTGCAGGGGCTCTCAGATGCAGCTTCCGGGCTGCCTCCACCTTCCCCAACCCCAGCAACTATTCCGCCTGGCTGCCTTCACGGGGTTGCAGGGGATCTGAGGCGGAGGGGGGCTCCTTTAAAATTCTCCCTTGAGGGGAGTGCAGCCTCAGAGCCCTCAACGGAAAGGGTGACGGAGCCTGTCCCTCCCCAGCTCAGCAGCCCCCATCCAGCTCCTCTTCCCGTGCAAGCAGCAACGCTGCCTAGCGGAGCAGCCCCATCCCATTCCTACTTGCCACCCGGCCCAGCCTTCCCTCACTCAGTGTTGGGCCACCAGAGCTGGAGGAGGGGGTGGTTGCTGTTGTGGCGGGTGAAGGAACCCAGCACTTGAGGGTGGGTTGCTATGCAGCCCACCTTCCCTCACAAGGAAAACGGACGTATGGCACTCAAAATGGAAGTTATACTCATCCCCCTAGAGGAAGCTGGACACTGTTACAATAACAACTGGCTTAGAGGAAAATTCCATTCCATTCCATTCTATACCAAAACAGTTGCTGTACTGTGGGAATGACCTTGAATTTCTAAGAGACTGTTATGGCAGATGGGAAAGGGAAGATAGAGTCGTCGCAGGAAAAACCCACTACTACTAGGTCTGGCAGACAATTCCGGGCAGATACTGCGCAGCGAAGGTTTTCAACATCTGGTGCATCTGTAACATTAGGAGCCACACTCCCACAGGTTAAACCAAAAGTTATGTCGTCGGAAGAAGTTTTGGCACAGGCACTTGCTAAAATTAATGAATCTTTGGAAAGTTTAAATAAACAGGTAGCTGAGACAAACAGACAAGTAGCTGAGACAAATAAACAAGTTGTGGAAGCATCAAGCAAAATTGATATAAATACTGCAAGTATCAACAACTTGGGGCAGAAGGTGAACACAAATACACAGACCATCGAAAAATTACTACAGGAATCGGCATCAACTCGAAAGACAGCCGAAGAGGCAAAAGACATTGCAACTGCTACCCAAGAGAAGATTCCACCAGTATATAAGAAATTGGAGGACCATGATGTGACATTTTCTATGATCAAATTGAAAGACAGACAAAGAAACTTAAGAATTAGAGCCGTACCAGAACAGGAGCAAGATAATCTGGCTGAATTTCTTACACAGGAATTCACAGACTTTTGGCAATTGGATCCGGGGAAGGAAGAATTTAAGATAGTGAATGCATTTAGACTTGGAAGAAGACTAAGTAAGAATAAGGCGAGAGATTGTTTGATTAGCTTTCGAACAAAAGAAGAGAGAGATAAAATTTTGAATTTGCATTATCAAAAGTCTTTGGAAATTTACGACTCAAGCGTGGTGATATTCAAGGACATTCCAAAACATTTGCTGGACTTAAGGCTCAAATACGGAGATCTAGTGGACCTGTTGAAAAGAAATAGAATTCTTTTCAGGTGGGAATTCCCTCAAGGCCTGTCCTTTAAATACAAAGGCAGAAAGATAAAAATAAAATCAGTTGATGAAAAAGACAGGTTCTTGAAGAATCACGAGGAAGATTTACAGAAAGAAGTGGAAGTTGAAGAAGAGCCAAAAGGCATACTAGACATATCAAATCTATCTTTTGGATTGCACGGCCCGGAAAAAGTGACACTACCTACAGAACAAGGACAGACACTCGGAGCAGTTGGAGGAAAGTTAAGTAGAATCACAGAATCATAGAGTTGGAAGAGACCACAAGGGCCATCGAGTCCAACCCCCTGCCAAGCAGGAAACACCATCAGAGCACTCCTGACATATGGTTGTCAAGCCTCTGCTTAAAGACCTCCAAAGTAGGAGACTCCACCACACTCCCCGGCAGCAAATTCCACTGTCGAACAGCTCTTACTGTCAGGAAGTTCTTCCTAATGTTGAGGTGGAATCTTCTTTCTTGTAGTTTGGATCCATTGTTCCGTGTCCGCTTCTCTGGAGCAGCAGAAAACAACCTTTCTCCCTCCTCTATGTGACATCCTTTTATATATTTGAACATGGCTATCATATCACCCCTTAACCTCCTCTTCTCCAGGCTAAACATGCCCAGCTCCCTTAGCCGTTCCTCATAAGGCATCGTTTCCAGGCCTTTGACCATTTTGGTTGCCCTCCTCTGGACATGTTCCAGTTTGTCAGTGTCCTTCTTGAACTGTGGTGCCCAGAACTGGACACAGTACTCCAGGTGAGGAGTTTCAAAGGCGGAATTTCCAAAAGATGGCACTTAGTCCTGAATTTAAGTCAGTTGAAAACTCATGGGCTTTTTTGGCGTTTATTTGGGGCCTTGTCTAAAAAAAAGCCCAGGCCCCAGCACCTCCCCCTAAGAGTGAAGGGTCCCAGTCTGGAAATCCTCCCTTCCTGCTGGAGATGAGGCAGTGAGGGACTCCAGACAGACAGAGGCGTCCTTGCTCAGGAATTCCCTTGCCAGCAGGGAGACTTCAAAAGCCCCCCCCCATGCCTCCCCCTTCCCTCA